ATCTTTTTTGGCAAACAACCCTTAAAAAGCAATAGTCAGTGAATTCACATAAAACCACCTCACACGACTTTGAACGTTTTACTCAACTGTTGGCGTGGCTATGAGCCGTTGTTTGGTGACAACGTCAACGCTTTAAAACTACCCAATTTGTTCTGGATTTTATTTTAGATTCACCAAGGAGACAAGACAACCAGACGAAACTATCAAACGTATGTACAAAATTTCCTTTATAAAAGATATACTTGTTCTCGCCTTTCGCAAAAGAATGTAGTTTGATTTGTGTCATGACTTGTTGCTCTGATCTGTAATGTAATATGGCCGGCAAGGTATCTGAAGTGCTGCATTCGGCCGGCGCCACTTTTGAAGTCGGTTCAAGTCAATTTTCGTGTTGAATTTCTTTAGAAATACTGCTTCGTTTAAAACGTTATCTCGTGTACCGGCATTACAGTGGTTTAAATTAAAACACCTCCCTCCAGATTTGTTAAACTAGAAGTCATTGCAACACCGAAAATTTTGTACTGTTTATGTGTGATATAAATTACACTGTGCCTGTGACCCGGCGTAGAGAACGCGTGTAGATAAAACACAAGTTTATAACAAAACACAGTAGATACGACAAGTTAATTCCTGTTGTTTATTTTCAGAGTATAACCCAATACATAAATGAAATTAAAATATATATATGAAGTACTGTATCTGTTAAAATATATTAAGCTGAAATGCTTACAGAGTCTGAATTCTTCTGTATCAAAAGTATTATGACATTTAAAAATATGCAGTATTATAGTTACACTAAACCAAATGTGGGTAAAACACTTGACTAATATAAATATATCACGTTTAATTTAACGTACAGTATCAGTAATGGTACATTTTATAGGTGCAATATGATGTAATTATGTAGGCTTGGCTTGGGTTGGGTTTGGGGTAAAGTAAATTTAGGGTTAGGTTGAGGTAAGGTATAATAAGCTTGAGATAAGATTATAAGGTTTACATTTTATGCAATTGATTACTTGAAGTTTAGTTTTCGATGTCGTTAAATATGTTCAGTGCAAAGTGTGGTTTATTATGTACTACAAAAACAATCAGCCAATGATCTTTATTTTGACGTTGGACATGTAGACGCTCGACACCGGGGTCCGATCTTCGCGACTCCCTTCGATGTTGTTGAAGTCGTTGTCGACAAAGATATAACGCTTGTTTCTCAGCTCCGTCGTGTTTCCAAGCTTAGCGTCCAAAATTCCTCGGAGTTCCGTCAAACTTCCTTGAATGTTCACTCTGACATCTCCCAAGCGTTGGAACATGTAGCCAGTGTTTGGCGTCACCAAATTCACGAAGAATTTGCGGTGTTGGACACCTAGAGGAGGTGGAAATTGTTAATTATAATGGATTAAAGGTAGAGGCCAGAATTCTTTTATAGACATTTGTCCACCTCATGCCATCTGCCCCCAATCGCAATCCTAACAATGAGAATTCTGGATGGCTCTATCAGTTCTAAACTGCTTTCCTTAGAGGTCCAGTAATTTAAGGGCAATCTCTTCATGCTCCAGAGTTACTCCAGGAGGAACTCAACTGACATTTATGCTGTATAGCTCTATCAGTTGTGTATAAACTCTTCTCGCTAGAGGTTTAATCCCATCCCGTATTGGTCCAGTGTTACAAGAGGAGGGGAGAAAGGTTACCCAGACAAAACCTGCTGTGATTGGTAGAGTCAAACTGGCAGTACTTTTTCCACATACAACTGAAGAACAACATAAACTTTACTCAAATAACTTGATACATAGCTACCAAAATCCCAAACACAGAACTCCACCACAGAACCCAAGGTATCACTTACTTCCATACTTGGAGCCAGATTGAATTGAAACAGCAGTGCTCAACGACTCGTCAAACACAGGATTCAGTTTAGAAGATCCCGCAATCGATGGCTTTTTATCATAACTGCCAGCAAGCGACTCGTACCCAGCACCCCGCTGAGAGTTCAGCTTTTCATAACCACTGCTGGAGCTTGCTCGACTGTCATAGTTCGACGTGTGTCGTGCCGGAGATGAAGGCATTGAGACCGAAGTGTAGGGATTCTGGGAAGCGATCGATCCGGGTTTCCCTGGTACCTGGGCACGAGTTGAAGGTTCGTAGTAGGATCCGATGTTCGATGGGGGTTTGGAACTAGTTGGGGAAATACCTCTGAAAGCTGAGCGTGACTGACTCGTTGCTGTACTTGGCCGAAGTATGTCGTGATTGCTTCCCTGCGAAGAAAAATAGAGAACATTTAAGATGGAGAAGAGTTCTAGGACCCAATTGAAAGTAACATTTATCTTGACATGCAAGCGTTCTATACAAGACGTGATAATCTGTATTTTGCTGCTGTAAACAGAGCAACGGCGACGTTTAAAACTCGCGTGTGATTTTAATCGTTAATTTCTGCTCATTTTCTTGTATTAAAATGATATTATTAGCCGTCTTAACAACAGTAGTTTTTAGTGTAGTTCGCTAATAAGTAAGAATGTAAACCATCTGACTCACTCTCGTCTGCTTTGGTATTGCTCCGGCGACACTTGGCTCTGCACTTCTTCTCGCATGACTGGGTGGCCTGCGGCTGTACATCGAAGGCACACGGGAACCACTCCTGTAAGAAGGAGGAGGGTGTTCCTGTTCGGGGAGGTAGCCCGTGTTTGAAAACATGCCAGCTTGTTTCCTCCTTTCCGACTTGTAGCTAGAGTAACACGTGAGGATTGTGGCGACCACCACGCCAATCAACAACAATCCACCTGCCACTGATCCAATAACGACTGGTAACTAAAGAAAGAAAAATGTAGTAATAATAATAATAATGTAATAAAAATAATAATCTGCACGTAACAAGTTGTTAACAAGTTGAATGTTGATGACGACAATCTCGTAGCAACTTGTTACGAACAACCTGTACTAGTCTTGCTGGAACAACTTCTAGCAAATCTGTTACCGTCATAAATCTTGTGACAAGGTGATACCAGACTTATATCCTGATATCGGCTTGACAACAACTTCGTTTACAACATGTTTACAGATCTGAAGGAACTTTCCACTACAACTTACCACTGTGGAACTATCGTCGTCATTATTCCCAGGCGCCGTGTACGTCGTTCCATTCCGTTTCAAATCATTCGACGTTATTGTTGTTCCATTTATCTCCAACTGCAGTCCCCCGGGCGAGTTCACATCGCTTGATATCTGGTTCAACACCGCAGTCTGCTGTGACTGACTTGTGATCATCTCGAAATTGACAATAATACTACCTTTTCGTACTGTGATGTGGAGGAAAATCGCATTGGGGTATTTCTGGCTCAACAATATCTTAATTTCTACAATGAAATTTGCTTCGTTGCCAAGAACAACTGCATCGTAGTCTGCATCTCCGAATGTCAGTTCCAGTTCAGTGAGAACCTCAGGATCGCTGCTTGTATTGTCTGGTGTGAAAGAGACTGTGATATTAACGGGAGTTTCAACTGAACGTCTATCTCCTACAGGCGCATTGTCTTCCACTCCTACCGTCAAGAAGTATTCCTTTGTCGTTTTATAATTCAATGCTTTGTCCAAGAAGATCACACCTTGAATGAAAAAATATTTCCGTCAATTTTCTACTAAACTCACTTACTATCAAACTAAACTAACTGTATTTATACTGAAAAGCTATGCATGTCAGTTCTAAACTGTTCTTCCTGGAGGTCCACCAAGCTTTTTAAGGGTCTACAAAGCCACAGCAATGAGGTTTCTACTTTACCTGTGGTTTGATTGATATCAAAATATCCTTCTTGATTTCCACCGGTAAGAGTATAGGTCAATCTTCCATCATCTCCGTAATCCTGATCTCTACCGGTTACTTGCACAACTGGAGTGTTAACCGAAGTATCTTCCCTCAACACTTGTGGAGCGATTGCATTCACAATACTTGGTGTAAACTCATTCACTGCATTAACTTGAACATTCACTACTTTAGTAGCAGACAAAAGTGGAGTTCCTTGATCTTGAGCTTGTATTGTCAACACATATCTTGCATTAGGTGCATGAGTTTTGGTTTCTAAATCCAAACTCTGGTTAACTGTCACAGCACCGCCGTCTTCGCTGATTTTGAAGAAATCAAGTTCATTACCAGAAAGTATAGAGTACTTAATCTCTCCGTTTATCCCTGGGTTCGTGTCGGTTGCTGGAACATTCACAACAACTGTATCAACGGTTGAGTTTTCTCTAACACTTACATCATCCGGAATGCTTTCGGAAAACACTGGTGCAGTATTATCGACATATCTAACTTCAATGTTTAACTGCATTGAATCGGTTTTAGGTGTTCCTACGATCGCCTGATCTGTTGCAGTGATCGTGATGTTAACCCCATCTGGTACTGCAGTGTAGTCTAGCACTGTTGCAACTGAAATATTTCCGTTACTTTGATCAATAGTAAAGTAGCCGTTATTATTTGAAGAGCTCATGGTGTATTGAAGTTCTCCATCCGCCCCAAAGTCCTGGTCCGTAGCTTGTGGTTCGTATATTACCTCAGACACTGGAGTGCTATGAGCGACTGTAATGTACTCGTCAGCTTTCTCAAACTGGGGTGAAAATTCGTTTACACTTGTGACTGTGATACCCAAACTTTCCGAAGCAGATCTAGGTGGTTGTCCGGAATCCGTAGCTGTTATTGCAAGAGTATAGCTTAACCCTTGTGCGTGTGTTGCAGTTTCTAAGTCCAAAGATTTTGCCACTGTCACTTCGCCCGATTCTGAGTTAATATCAAAGAATCCTAACGAGTTACCACTTGTGATACTATACGAGATCTTAGCATTGTCTCCTAGATCTTGGTCCGTTGCTTGCAGTTGAGTGATTAGGGTACCAGATGTTGCCTCTTCAGATACTTCTTTTGCAGAGATAGATCCATTGAATACCGGGTCTTCGTCATTAACGTCCGTAATGGCAATCTGTACATCTATCGTGGCTGTGTTAGTTACTCCAATCTCGGGTTGGTCTGCCGCTTGGATAGTCAAGGTTATGCCTCCAGGAATTGCCTCCCGATCTAAACTCTTGGACACTGTAACCTTCCCTGATCCCGAATCGATAGCAAAGTATCCAGCATGACTCTCTGTGATGATACTGTATGTAATTTGACCATCTGGCCCAAAATCACCATCAGTTGCAAGAGCTGTGTAGATTTCAGTTTGTTCATTAGTATCCTCGCTGACATCCACAGTATCACTGGAATCTGCAAACTGTGGTGTAAACTCGTTTTCTGATATAATCGTGATTTCAACATTTGTGGTATTACTCTGAGGTTGGGTCCCGTTATCCTGAGCTTGTATGGTGAGCGTGTACTTCAGGTCGTCTGAATGTGTTTGACTGTCGGCGTCCAAATCCAAAGACGTTCGTACCGTAACTTGTCCAGTTTCAGAATCGATGTCGAAGTACCCAAGTGAGTTGCCTTCAATGATGCTGTATGAGATTTCTGCATTTTGACCCAAGTCGGCATCGGTTGCTTGGACCTGTACAATATTATGACCAACTGTTGCCATTTCTGAAACATCTTGTGGCGCTATTGGCCCGTTAAAGGCAGGCTTGTTGTCATTAACATCAACAAAATCTACATGCAGAGCCATTGTCGAGTTCTTGGTGGCGCCTTCGTCAGCTTTATCTGTTACAAAAAGCACAAGATCAATTCCGTCGGGATAAGCCTCGCGGTCAAGCAAGCTCACCGTAGTAACCGATCCGTTATTTTGATCAATTTCAAAATATGCTGCCTCGTTACCAGATGCGATTGAAAACATGACTTCGCCATCGCTACCATAATCCAAATCACTAGCCGTTGCTTGGTAGACTTCTGTAGAAACTGGAACCTCTTCGCCAATACTGGTTGTATGACTAGCCGTACTGAACTGTGGTGTGAACTCGTTCACACTTGAGACAGTTACAGTCAAGGATTTAATCGAGGACAATGGCGGAGTTCCACGATCTGTAGCTCTGATTGTTAAAGTGTGTGACAGCAGAGGACCTGGTGTTTCCAAATCAAGCGACTTATTAAGAATAATCTGTCCTGAATTTTCATCAATTCTGAAGAATCCTAAAGAATTTCCATCATCAATACCAAACCAAACTTGTCCGTTGGGGCCAGGGTTTGCATCCGTGATATCTATTGTTAAAATAACTGCATCCACTTCGTGATCTTCAGCTACTTCGGTGTCTAAAGCCTCGGGGAATATCGGGGCGGTGTTTCCAACATAGATGACATTTACAGTCAGGTCCATACTTGCGTTTCTCGCTGTACTTGGATCAAGTGGTTTATCGGTTGCGGTAATTGTGAGGTTTATTCCGTATGGAGTTGCGATGTAGTCCAACTGTTTGGCGACTGATACCTCACCAGAACTAGGGTTAATGCTGAAGTAATCTTCACCGTTCTTGTCCACCAAAGTAAATTCTAATTCACCATCGGTACTTTGGTCGTCGTCCGAAGCCACAGGAGTATAAACTACAGTTGATGTCGTAGTATTTTCTTGGACTGATATAACATCTGTTAGATTCTCAAACGTAGGATCAAACTCGTTTTCTCCATTCACTTGAATGATGACGTCAATTTCTGAGGCCAGTGAAGGTACGCCTCCATCGCGAGCTTCTATGGTTAAGGTATACTTGAAATCTGGGTTATGGTTGCCGCTTTCCAAATCCAATGATTCTCTAACCTTGATTTTACCAGTTTGAGAATCGATTTCAAACGGCGAACTTCCAGATGTGATACTGTATGTAATATTTGCATTGATTCCTTCATCGGCATCCGTTGCTTGTACCGTTACTATGACATCTCCGATCTCGGCGTTTTCTGAAACTTGCTGTTCTGGTACTTCATCGAGCTCAGGTTGGTTATCGTTGTAGTCGGAAATTTGGATATCAAGGCGCATGATGGTTGATTTCGGCTGGCCAGAACTCGGTGAATCCACTGCTTGAATTGCCAATGATATGCCGTCTGGGGTAGTCTCACGGTCCAGCATTTGGAGGATTGTAATTCTGCCTGAGTTAGCGTCAATTTCAAAGTACCCAGAGGTTTGGTTGATTATTGAATACTGGACATTACCATCACTGCCATAATCGTCATCCGTGGCTGCTGCTGTGTACACCTGTAAGTAAAGAGTGTGAATGAGTTTAAAAAGTGGATTTCAGTTTCTTACGACATACCATACTGTACCATACCACACAGCCATGCTATATTATACCATAACATAACATACCACAGAAACCATACCATATTTAATCTTACCTCAGTATCAACTGTTGCATTCTCGCGGACAGAAACACTATCCGTAGCATTCCTAAACACAGGTGTAAACTCATTTTCAGATAAAATAGAAATCTGCACATCCATCGAATTAGATTGTTGTGGACTACCACCATCACTCGCTGTAATAGTCAGTGTATAATTTAGGTTTTGAGGTGGATCATTTGACTCCAAGTCTAAAGATTGCTTTACTTTAATCTCTCCAGTTCCTCCGTCAATTTCAAATAGATCATCGGTGTTACCAGCAGTGATACTGTAGCTGACTTCGGCATTCGTACCCAGATCCGCATCAGTTGCCTCGACCTGGACAATGACGTCACCAACTGATGCTCCCTCGGACACTTGTTGCGGACTGATCTGAGTCGTAAAATCTGGAGTGTTATCATTATAGTCTGTGATTAGAACAATAAGTTCCATTGTAGAGAACTTGGCGGTTCCGTTAGTTGGTTTGTCAGTTGCTTGAATGGTCAGAGTAATACCACTATGTGTAACCTCTCTGTCTAATGTCTGTGCTATGGTGACTTTTCCTTGAGAGTCGATAGTGAAATATCCTGCAGGATTTTGGGCTGTTATAGAGTACTCGAGTTCTCCATCTGTTCCGTAATCCAGATCCGTCGCAGCGGCGGCGTAGATTTCCGAATTCACAGAAGCGTTCTCCGTGACATTGATCGTCTCACTTACATTACCAAACACAGGTGTATACTCATTTTCAGATAAAATAGAAATCTGCACATCTACTGAGTTAGATTGCTGTGGACTACCAGCATCACTCGCTGTAATAGTCAGTGTATAACTTAAGTTTTGAGGTGGATCATTTGACTCCAAGTCCAAAGATTGCTTTACTTTAATCTCTCCAGTTCCTCCGTCAATTTCAAAGAGATCATCAGAGTTACCAGAAGTGATACTGTAGCTGACTTCGGCATTCGTACCCAGATCCGCATCAGTTGCCTCGACCTGGACAATGACGTCACCAACTGATGCTTCCTCGGACACTTCTTGCGGACTGATCTGAGTCGTAAAATCTGGAGTGTTATCATTATAATCTGTGATTAGAACAATAAGTTGCATTGTAGAGAACTTGGCGGTTCCGATAGTTGGTTTGTCAGTTGCTTGAATGGTCAGAGTAATACCACTAGGTGTAACCTCTCTGTCTAATGCCTGTGCTATGGTGACGTTTCCTTGAGAGTCGATAGTGAAATATCCTGCAGGATTTTGAGCTGTTATAGAGTACTCGAGTTCTCCGTCTGTTCCGTAATCCAGATCCGTCGCAGCGGCGGCGTATATTTCCGAATTCACAGAAGCGTTTTCCGTGACATTGATGGTCTCGCTTATATTGCCAAACTCAGGTGTAAACTCGTTTTCTGTTGTGATAGAAATATCCACATCTATGGTAGCCGATTGAGCTGGAGTCCCTCCATCTCTCGCTTCGATTGTTAGGATATAACTCAGACTCTGCGGTGGGTCATTTCCTTCTAAATCCAAAGATTTCTTCACTTTAATTTCGCCTGTTTCCCCGTCAAGCTCAAATAGGTCATCCGTATTACCAGTAGTTATAGCAAAACTAATCTCAGCATTTATCCCAAGGTCACTATCCGTTGCGCCCACTTGAGTTATGAGATCATCTATATCGGCCGTTTCAGATACCGTTTGTGCAGGGACCTGAGCACTAAATACCGGGCTGTTGTCATTAATGTCAGTGATATTTACATGAAGTATCATACTGGCTTCAGGTGCCGCCCAAGAGAATCCTCTGGCTTCAATGGTTAGATCAAAACCACTGGGGGTAGTTTCGCGATCCAGCTCTTTTGCAGTCGATATTATCCCTGTATCCGTAGCAATACTGAAGTATCCATCAGTGTTTCCTGCTGTGATGTCATAGACAATGGTACCAAATTTGCCGTAATCTCCATCGCTTGCGCTGGCTTGGTAGACCTCGCTAAGAGTCGTTGCATTCTCTGGTATAGATACCCAATCGCTCGCCTGCGGAAACTGCGGGTGGAATTCATTAACGTTGATTACGGTGATCGTCATTTCCAGTGGTGAAGAGGTGAATTGAGGTACGCCCTTGTCTTTGGCGATGATTTGCAATGTTACAGTGTAGTTCTCTTGCCTCAACGCGTCTAAGTCGATGGATGCTGAAAAATGACAGGAAATTTTCATTAGAAAAGTTTTTAATATGAGGGTATTGGTGCCACAATGATTACTGCACATTACTGTCAAGTCTTTTAGTTCACCTCTGAGACCAGGGTTCAATTCCTGCAAGTTTTCTTATTCTAAATTCGTCACACAAAGAGGAATATTTTCAGTTTGACTTTACCAAACACCGCACATTTTCTCCAGGTACCCCAATTTCCCTCTGTGGTAGGACTGTACCATTGTCCTATCTCCAGTTTTGAGTGGTACCCAAGAGCACCCCAGGCAAACTGAATGCGCTCTTCTCACATGGTACCGGGGCGAAAGTATTACCGGAAAAGTGCGTGCTCGAAGAAACAAAAATCAGTCGACATGAAACATACACACATTAACAACTGTACCAACAACATTTTCTTAGGTGTTCACGAAATACTATTACAATAGAGTAAGAAGTCATTAGTGAAATGAAACAGCTCCACCACCTACCATTCAATGTAAGATTGCCCGTATTTTCATCCAATGCAAACAACCCATCGTTATTTCCTGACGATATCTCAAACGTAACCATCGCATTTACGCCATCATCCGCATCTGTCGCCGAGAGCGTGGTCAAAACACCACCAGTTGTGAAATTCTCTGGAATCACCACTAGTGGTGGTCCTACCACTTCTGGAGGACTGTCATTAATGTCCTCAATGGTGACAGTCAATTGACCATGCGTGTATCGTCTTCTTGGTGGTAGGCTACCATCGTATGCTGTTACTGTCAGAACATAACTTGCAGTCGTCTCTCTATCCAGCGATGTAATTGTCTGAACCAGCCCAGAGTCCACATTAATCTCAAATTTATCTTCATCATTGCCGCCAGTGATGTTATAGTACACCTCCCCACGGATTCCATTGTCTTGATCCGTAGCTTGAATGGTACTAACATTGGTTCCGACCCCACTGTCTTCTGGGATACTTGCCGTATATTGTCCGTCAGCCGGTATAAATTCTGGTGCGTATACATTGGGCGTTACAACATCGAACGTATGATTGACCTAAAACAATGAAAAAATTGTTAGTGGAGTTTTGGTCATAGTGTTGTGATAGAGTGAAGAGATTATCTCGATATTTACCCATTCCTTGTACTGCCATCAGCCATTATATACAAGAACTGGTGGTTAGAGCTCGACAACTGGACTCTATAGCTCAGTTGGTTAGAGCACTGCACCGGAATCGTGGGGCCGCAGGTTCGATTCCTGTCAGAGGGCCTATAGTTGCATTTTTCACAACTGCTCCTGGTTAGGTCTAAAAATTGTGTATAATCTTCGCTTGATGTTTCCATCTACAAAACCCTTCAACTTCCCAAAATGTTCAGTTTATGATTTCCTACCTGATGACCACCACTGGACGTGACTTCCACTGTATACCCACTTCCCAACTGATCAATTTCCAAGTCAGTGAAATTTCCAATAGCGTCGACGACATTTACAGTATGTGTACCAGTGAAGCTCGCGCTAGACGGATTCGCAGTTAGAGCTACAGTCAATGTCATTGAAACCTTCCACGGTAGAGCAATCAGACCCGTTCCTATATCCCTGACTTCTACCACCAGTGAAAATGGCAGGGCTAGATCAGCAATAACCTCTTGGGCCACCACCAAATAATACTGCCGCTCTTTGACTTCTATTCCGCTTGAGTTGGCTGTGAGTGTGTTGTAGGAGGATGCTGGTTCAGTTTCTATTCCGAATTGTAAGATGACTCCCGAGGCGACATCACTAAGGCCAATGTCTGTGAAGGTTAGCTGACCTGACATGGGGATCTGTACACGAGTGTCGCCAGTTATGGTGTTGCCATTCGTTGTTGATACCGTCGCGTACCTAATATGAAAATATAAAAGGAAACAGACTTTGGTCAGTTTCAGAATGTTGTTATTTTAAAGGAATAAAGTCCATAAATGGCAAAAGCGGGCGGACTTTGATATATATGTATATGAGCCTGCTCATGAGCATACCGAATTTTGGTGTATGTGATGAGCGTGCAGGATGCTCCCTAAGTAGCAAAATTAAAATTTGTGAGGGGGGAGAGGGGCGGTGGTATTGTCTATTGTGACAAGAGAGGGTCCTGTTTCAGTGCTGGTGCACATGATAGAGCTATCCAGTATAAATAGAGCTAGTTCACAATGCTTACCATGTACGTCCACGCCAGCCAAGATCCCCAGCAGCCACATCAGTGTGACTATCTCTTACTTCAACAATGGGCTGTACACCGCATGCTACTGTATCATTACAATCCCCAGGTTGTCCGACCACCGCCAAATACAACACCCTGTCTCCGACGACAAATATTTCACTAACAATCGACTCCTGATACCGCGACGAAGGCTCCGTTCTCGTCTCGACAGCTATCTGATAATCCTGACCAGCAATATCTACACTTAGATCGATGAAGCTCGCCACACCTTCGGTAAATTCTGCCTCCTCGGTTCCAAGCAGTTGTGCTCCACTGCCACCCATCAAACTAGCTGTAGCGTACCAGGTACGATTTTTCCAACCAGTATTATTAACTACCATTCCATTTGCAGCATCTCTCACTTCAACTACAGGCTGTACGGGTAAAGGAGCCATTTCGGTTCCATTGCCTGGTTGAGTTTTAAAAGTGAAATACAGCTCTCTCTCTTTAACCGTAAACGGCCGAGAGGACGTCTGGAAATTGGCGGTGTCTGGCTTCGAGATACGAAAATCTAGTATGTATGTCCCATTGTGTGAAATACTCAACGAAGTAAAGTTCGCCCATCCTTGGTTAAATTTCACTGTATTGTTACCAATAATTGTTGCCTTCGAGTCCCCAGTACCAGCTCGAATGACTGCAGTGACGACCCACGCACCAATTTCTGCATAACCCACGCTGTTAACTTGATCACCTTGTGAATCAAGCATCCATAGTTTAGGTTGGATACCAAATGGAACTGTTTCGTTCGCCTCGTCAGGTTGAACTATGACTGATAATGTTGAGGGAATTTGGTAGACCGTTTCTTGTCCTTGGTCTTCTGTTTGCTGTTGCTGTTGTTCGTGGTAGGGTATTGTATTATTGCCAGTGACGTTTGCAACTAAAATTAAAAGAGAGGTGTGTTACTTCTTGTTAGGAATACAGTGAGAAGCAATTAAGTGGACGTTTCATCGATCGAAAGTTTTGCTAAATGAATAAATGACTGAATTAAATTTATACCTATAATTCCAAGGCAACAAGGTATAATATCAGAAATGTTTTGCTACTTTGGTTTAAGTAAATGAAAGTAATCTAAATTACATTCATGAGCCATCTTTTCGACACTACAGTCGACATATTTATAATGCATTGTTATTCCAGGCCTATTTAACTTGACATACCAGATTCATTAGTAGCTCTTACTCCTCCAGTGTGGTCGACAGCCTCAGGAACAGGTTCTGCCATTGCAAAGTTTTGAACAGTGATATTCAGAGACTCTGATAAGCCGCCGGTCTGGACTTGATCAACAAGATCACTTGCGAGTTGTTCCAGCTGTTCAAACGATGTCGTATTCGCAACACCTACGAATGAAAAATGATTCATGACGATAGTTAAACGCGCCTCTACTCTCACTTTCGTATCACTGTGACGTACTTTCTTCGTTCCTTTAACATTGCATATCTTCCCTTTCTTTTCACATTTTGTTATCCTTCCTTTGCTTTCTAAAGCAACTTATCCTCTGGGAAATGTCTTAACTGGGTTTCCTTTTGACTTATAACTAAACAACCTTTTCTTCTATTCTTTATACAGGATCCCATTTACTGGGATAAATTGTTGAACAAACTACAGCAACTTTATATATACCAAATTGCTCTATCAGTTTTAAATTGTTCAACTCCCTAGAGGTCTATAGGTAGTAAGGGCCATTCTGTATCAATTGGATGTTACTGCCTGCGGTAGGATATAGATAACATGTGGATAGTAGTCATATCGATAGATAGTAACTTATCTGCAACGGATAGCTTTATCAGTTCTAAATTGTTCTCCCTAGAGGTTCATTACATATTGCATATTGCATATTGCATATTGCATATTGCATATTGCATATTGCATATTGCATATTGCATATTGCATATTGCATATTGCATATTGCAGGACACGAATTTAATCCCAGATACAAAAGGAACATATAATAACCACTGTGCCATGATGGTACTGCCATCGGATGAGAATGGTGCGAGCAAAACTGTGCCACCATGCATTCCTGTACTCACCTGTATAGTTCTGTGTGGCACCACCATCAACAGTAGTATTGGTCACCGTGCTGTTGTCATAGATATCACCTTCCTCGTAGTCTATACTTGCTGCAGGCGGGTCACCAATCTCAAATTCCACCAACATATTTTCATCTGTCTCTCGCCGTCTCCTCGGTCCACCGCCGGCGCCGAACACATTAATTATACGAATCCTCGATGTATCTATTCCTAACAAAGCTGCTAGGTTCTCAACTAAGTTTACTTCGAAGAATTCATCGACCGTTACAGGTTGCATTCCGAGTTTCACCTGGGAAAGGAATTGATAACATATTAGAGAACTGTTGTTTTTATCTGCTCCTAAAAAATGAATTTTGTAGCGTAACGGAATGTACACAGAGACGATTATATATGTATTGTGCGGTAATGAGGCATTCTCTTTGCCAATACACGAGCCATAATCTTTAATTTGTAAATTTAATAACTGTGAAGAACGAATTGTGTAATAAATTATGTGTCCGACGAATTTGGCAATTTGGAAGAGATGCCAGCCTCCTATTCTTGATGTTGTGTTAATGCAGTCTAGCTAGAAAATGCTTAATACTCGTCAAAGAATGCAGAGAGTATAATGGTAAAATCTTTGTGATGACCGGTTTACGGCGGACTCCATAGAAAACAGTTTAAAAGTGATGGAACTATATAAACTAAGTTTAGTTAAACCCACCTGAATTACAGGAGTCGTTCGTATATCAATAGGTTGTGAACCTCGAACAATAACATATAGCAAGTTTGTATCTCGATCCCAGTAATTTGCTCCACTGAAGCTGGACAGTTGTGGTTCGAACTGATCGTTTGGTAAGTTGGGATTTTTGCGTTCCAACGTGAATTCTTCTCCAGACAGTTTCGCGTTGGTAGGATTGATGTAAAGACCTAAAGATTGGATAATTAACAATTATTGAATGAGGTTGAGCATGATGCATGTGAAGAATTATCAAGCCAAATATACCTTTCCGATAAATATCCAATCTTTGGGGAGTTTTATAGAAAATTGCAAACCGTATCACTTTTTCGCGCTCTGCTAACAAGTGAAGGCGAATCTTTTGTGGGCTGGTATTGGTGAAGAAAACTGAGTAGTTTCTGTGCGAGGCAACAATCCCATAGAAGGTTGAAATTCTTTCCTGACAAGTGTAACCCAAACACCATCCATGATCCATAGGCCCATTCAGCAAGTTCACGTATTTATCACCTGAAAGGAAATAAAAATTGTAAATTTAATTGGAGTATATCCAGGCGACCAAAATGCCAGAACGGTAAGTTTTACAAGAGGACTTTGGAGCTCTAGGAAAAATTCTTCTTACCGAAGATAGCAACTGGTGACAATCTTCTTGTTTCGGTATCTGGATCTAAACTTTCAATAATGGCCATTTGATGATCCATATCTGAACACTTATAAGCTTTCCAGTCTTCAACCCAAGTGCATTGATTGTTATTGCCTCTGATGATTCCTTTGTTTGGAAGATAGGTGTTGATGTCAATACGAGATCCATCTGGATTTGTTTGCGCTGCCGTCGGGATTCTGTAGTCACCTAAAATTTAGAAATTATTTTAGAAATATTTTGAGGTATTCCTGTTTACAATTATAGTCCGTTTAAGATGTTGTTATTATTATGTCCGTTTAAGATGTTATTGTCGTTGTTGTTGCCGCTGTTGCTACTGTCGTTGTCGTTGCTGTTGCTACTGCTGCTGTAGTTCTATTGTCATTGCTGTTGTTGTTTTAAGGAGAAGTTTAAAAATGTAACTTTTATACCTAGACCAAACCTCGGGTTACCACCCCATTCGTACTCTGCCTTTGGAACGATCGTATCACCAGCCTTTCCTGTGTAACTGCCATCCATATCTGTGATCAATAACTGGCGTCGACCGTCGCAGTCCATGTCAACACAATCTGAAGGATTAATCCACCTAAAAACAACAAACAATATTACAACTCAAAATGAAGGTCGCTGTTAAAAAATCTTGCCTTTGATAATAATATTTTCGAAAGTAAACTTTGCTACTCCTCCCATCTTGCACGCAAAAATCACGAAGCCCACGCAAATTTCACGCGCATATCCGACAAATTACAAATTTCCTGGAACTAGCTCATGAATATTCAAAATGGCGGGAGATTTGATTATTGCTTGATATTTTATTTTATTATTTTAAAACAGAAATCTTTGTTGATTCATGCAGTTTCATTTGGAATTGGCACAGAAATGTTGAATATTATTTGTTTCCCAAAGACTTTGTTGCTTTTGGTCAATGGATCGTGATAAATAGAGCGAACTTTACTTTTGCAAAGAAGGTAAACTGGCAGTATTAATGTATAATGTTTTAATCATAAATATGTCTTTTTAGTAATGTTTAAAACACGAGCAGGATTGCTTTATCGGATATAAAGCACGAGAGCGCAGCTCGAGTGTTTTATATCTGATAAAGCACGGACTGCGAATGTTTTAAATGGCTTAAAAAACGACCCATCTGATGAGTTCATTGGCGAAGTAATTTTAACTAAATGTTATCTAAGCTGAGAAAATCAAAGATAAAGTTTATGTAAATGAACATGATTTTTATCACATATGATTGATATGAAACCACTGACACGGCAGTGATTTCTTTTGCATTTTCCTCATGAATTATTAATGAGTTTTTTAACATGTTTTAAAATACTTTTATATTTCAGTTCAAAATGTGTGGATGGCTGGGTGGGGTTTCACCTTAAATAGAGGGTAGCTTATAGAAATTAAGAAAAAGTTTGATATTTTTAGGGACATCCAAGGGGGGGGGGGGGCATATTGTATTAGCCTTACTCATTCTCTTGGCTGTGAATGTTGGCAGATTATCAAAAACACCCCCCTCCCCCCAAAGCATGTTTTAACGACTTACCGAGTAGTTGGCACTGTATAGAAGAGCATTGATTCATTATCCATGTTTGATTTAATTATTCCTTCCATTGTAATTGGATGCGTAATATCCCCTACAACAGGGTTTGTCATCATTGCCGAATCTCGTTTACCATTGCATCCCGTCCGGAATGAATCAAAGGTGACATTTATTAGTTTTGTTATGCCATAAATAGCTGGGTACGAATTTTGTGCATCCCATCTCTTAACTGGTCCCATTCTGCCCTGTGACATGAAACTCGGCATCAATAAACCAATGTTACCACCTTAACAGGAAGTAGAGAATTAATTGGCTGCTTCACATTAGCATCCAAAAATGGTGGCCTGCAAATGGTCAAAAGCAGCTCATTTGAAAAAAGGCAGGAAAAACAATTTTTTGAACTTTTGCCAAATCAAAAATACAATTTCAGGTAACATTATGCAGTTTTGTTTCACTTCAAACAAAGCAAAGCAAAGCAAAGCAAAGCAAAGCAAAGCAAAGCAAAGCAAAGCAAAGCAATCTAAGCTTGAGTGTTGTATTAGAAAGCTTGCAATGCATATTCTGATAAAGGTAACAACTAAATCATGTAGAAGTAGAGCAAACAATGGATTATTCCAGCTATAGACGAAATTTTGATCTAGACAAGAAGAACGAACTCCATTACCATAGCTGGAAAGAGCATCTTAAAATGAATACCATTGCAAAGTTTGGTTGCGAAATGTTGTAAAATGAAGAAAATATAGCCCTGTGAAGTTCGCAAATTTTGTATATATTTGCATTACGCACGGTAAAAATAACCTTTTTGAGTCGAAAGTGGTTATTTTTACCCCGCGTAATACAAGTATATACAAAATTTGCGAACTTCACAGTGCTATATTTTCTTCATTTCTCAACCAAATTTAGTTGAATTAAAATGAAGAAACAGACCAACTCCAAAAATGCATGTAGGGGCCGTAGAGCTAGCTATATCTAAATATGTTACTGACTAACAAATCTTGGCTGCCTCCCAAAAATAATAAAATCCGAAGGCATTACACACTACAGTACCTGATGGCGTTTTGAAGGCGCGTTGAAAATCATTCACCACCGCTGTTGCTGGTTCTACAGGATCAATAGTACAATCCCAACTTGCAGTTCTACCGATAAACACTGTGTCCTTTATGTGAACGAACTTATCCGACGTCCTATGTGTTAGCGCAGGTGGATCATAAACGACACCATTGATGGAGTTAATATTATCTGCAAACACGTTATCCTGAATGACCATCCTTGATTTGGTGAAGAAGAATAGTCCCCAGTCATAGTTTTTCCACGCCAAGAAATTGGAGACCTTGGCACAACCTGGTATACCTTGATTGTATAATATGCTGATACCATGCAAGGCACCATGCACTGTATTACCACGCCATTTTGATGGTGATGTACTGGGAGTATCACACGGTTCACCATCGATACTGTAACCAATACGTTCACTGCCACCTTAAGGAAAAAGTAATTTCACATTCGGAATCGCACTCAAGTAATTTCATACCTGGAATAAAGTAAAATCTCAGGATCCTCGGGAACACTTATCTTAGCTAAGAAGATTAAGGAACATTTTCAATTTTTCACTTTATATTATACGTTATGAGGGAATCTGAAGAAATCATTATACCGTGCTTCCTTATCTGTCGGTTTTGAGATTGTGAAGTATTGTTCAATCAGTTCAAATTTGGCGTAATGTACGGTGAAAGTATCCGTTGTTTCTACCAGGAGTTTCTACCATCGGAATCACAGGGCCGCAGGTTCGATTCCTACCAGAGGGCATACGGTTGCATTTATACGGGCTAGTATTCCAAGGGTCGTAGGTTCGCTTATATATACTAGATAGTGCATCTAATTATTCTGCAATTCAAAAATTGAAGCCGTGATTACAGACTCAGGATATTCCCATGAAATGAGAAGACTCGTATGTTTTCTATTTCTTAAACAGGGAACTTAAACATTAAGTTAAACCTATTCCAAATACATTTTTAAACTATTCAAATGATGAAAGTTATTGTTGTTTTTTAAGCGTTAGTGAGTGGGAAACTCCAACATGGCCGCCATCTATTCAAATGAGTGTAACCGCTGGAATATTCTTGGCTTCAATTTTACTAAAAGAGAGGTGCTATCTAGTATATATAAGATATCTATGGGTTCGATTCCCACCGTGGCCAGGTATATTTTTCTTGCCCAGTGTGGATGTACACTCAGAGTAACATCACAAACATCATATTCACCTGAGTACATAACACCAACACAGAAAAAAATCACGCTCCTGGTTAGGTCTAATAAATGTATAAAAATCACATTCGAAATTTCCGTTTACAATACTCCTCTACTTGCTTGACCTACCTATTGCGTTATCAATGAGGACAGCTCCAATGGCAGATTCCGTTTCAATCGCTCCTGGCCAATGAATATCAAACCTATCACGGCGGCCTTTGTATGTCGAGTAAGAAGCCGAGTACACGACCAAGTTATGTATTATCTCGTTGTTTTCACCCCACACTCGTATGGAAGCACCGATGGTGAAGTATACAACATTGTCTTCGACCAGAGGATCAAGTTTAACAGATGAAGGCGACACAAGGTAGTTCGACACAGCGCTCTGCCAATTATTTATGTTCTCATTTACCTGTCAAAGTTCCATCTAAGTCTCTCAGTACAACTTCGTGTTGCCATTTGAACTTTGTCCGTCTGGGCGAATTAATGAATGACATTTTCTCCAGCTTAACCATCGAACCGCCTTGGAAAATTTTGCAGTGAGCGCAAGCCTCCATTGTTACACATGTTTCGTAATCGAAATTCACCATGGTCACATTAGATATTGTCAACCGTGAAGTCTTGGGCAGCTTTAGTCCCGTTTCAGTGCAGTTTCTGTTCGTTGAAATACGATTCGGCAATCCTTCCGATAACAGACTATGTCCAACGACGAGTGAGTCTTTAATCATGGCACCACCCCACGGGGCATCATCGCTATCAGCGTCGATATATTCAATCCCCGCGAGATCGTTGTCCATCACGATAAAATCTACAAATCGTACGGCGCCCAGCTGTACGCCTTCCGCCCCCCGCATGTTGTTGTAAGCTAGTAAAGAGTGAAACTCGGCTGGCTCGGCTATCGTGGAATCACACGTGCCATCCTTCTTCGGGTTGTAAATGGGAAAGATCCACAAACCGTATCTTCCAAAAGAATGTGCAGTATTGTTACGGAATTCTAACATAAACACATTTCGCGGGCAGACAGTTGGAGTAAACGATGGTCCGTCTGGATGTTTAAACATTTGATACCAAAAACCAAAATGGCTTCCACCTTGTTAAGAAATAAAGTGAACTATTAGATATCGATTAAGATTAGTATTTTACTAATGGAAGAACCGATTAATTTTGGAATCACCGTTTGTATGCGTATGTTTATCTGCCAGCAAAATGACTTAAAAACTATCAAACAGGTTAATGGGTCTAATGGGAGAAAGGTTTACGGAGCTAATGGCCGTAGATCAACATGGATTAAACTTGTATTTAAAATTAGATGAGAATTGTACAAAAGGTTGTCTTGCTTTTCTGAATTGTTTAAAAGAACTGAATGCTTAGGCACAGTTTGTGCCAGCGGAGGTAGCAACGATGACAAGACAACTGTGGATTGACAGGGATAGAACTACCTGAAAAATACAAGGAGAACTTCGACGTTTTGAGCGAAGGCGCTTCCTGGGGAAGTTAGTGGTGCTTTTAATATTTAAGAGCGACTGTCCGTAAAAATCGAGCAAACAGTGGCAATAGATGAAAAATAGATTTCTTTCATATTTTGCTCAAATTTAGGTAATACCTAGTTATAAATGGTGTTTGGGTTAGATATTCAATATTTGGTCGATAAACGTACAAATATCAGAAATCAAGAATTTGTCTCCGGAAGGCTATAATTAGCCGCAGACAAAGCCGTTGCCATGGTCAATTTCATCACTTCGCGACAGATTCAAAACTGATCGTAGATAGTTTTGATGGTTTAATGACTATAATTCAAGTATTAAAGAACAATTTTATCAATATAGAATGGCCCAGGAGGCTTTAACTGGCCTGACAGACGTTGTTGAAATTGGCTATTTTTAGTCAAATTTTACAATTGCATTTTGTCACTGGATTTGAAGGGGAAATTTACTATGTGCGATAATCGTGAATTTGTTTATATTTCATCCACGGAATGGTATAGCATGAGTACATGTTATATATAAAAACTAGCTTGGGTTATTGCCCTGGAGCCTCACGCGAAACTTTTAAAAAAGCTCATTTTGGTGATTTCCAGTGGAATGTAACACAATTAAATCATTAGGCCCATACGTCTATACCAGAGTCACGAAGCTCAAATTGTTCAAAACTTTGAATTTTGTGTTTCGATATCAATGTATATGCTTTGTATACTTTATAAAAAATCGTTTAGAAGGATTTTCAATATATTTTAGTGAAATGCCTACTTACAACAAAAGCACAACAAATCATCATATCATTACTAGACTGTAACGTTGCTATTTATAGCAATTCGCGTGTTGTTACTGAATATATATTTAATATGTCTGCAGTCTGTAAGCTTTTGAAGTCTTATAATTTCTCATTTTTGTTTATTGCTTTCTCTGCATATGTAAACAAATAAAATTAAAGCTAGATAAATACAATAAAAGTACATAAGTTGGAACATGTATATGTTTACACTTTACGCAAGACATTTTTCTGGACTCTCCTGTTACGAAACTAACAAACAGGTGACGAGTTTTACTATAGTGCGAGGCATATGATGCACGATGCGAGGCATGGAAAAAAGTGCGAAGCATGCGAGGTAGAAGTGCGAGGCATGAAAAAAAGTGCGAGGCATGAAAAAAAGTGCGAGGCATGAAAAAAAGTGCGAGTCAGGCAGATGTGCCAGTGGGAGGCAGACACAATGACTGACTCCAAAATTTGACGATATTTAACATATTGAACATACTTAACTTGACGCTGGACAAACGGACAAATGTGAACGACATTCTAGTTTTAATATTAAAAAGTTCTGTCTGTACATTATAGTTTTAAATAACTACAGCACTCCAGTCAAAACGTCAAAAAGTAAACATTAACCTAGACAATAGCTCAACAAGTGACAAGCTTCACTAAAAATTATGGAATATTAACTATTTTGCGTTGTTCATCTGTCAATTGAAAAACTACGTTCATACAAACTCGATAAGGTTTTATAAACGAATTTCTGGGTAATTTGGAAATGCATTTAAACCAAGGGAAAGCAATGGCCCAAGGGCAGTAGAAAAAAAGGCCCGTCAGGACTCGCGGGATTGCCTCACATGCCTTGCAGCCTTCCTCGCATCAGTCGCATGCCTCGTATGCTTCGCGGGCTTGCCATTGCCTCGCTGCCTCGCAGTTTGTGTGCACCCACAGGTGACCTTCTTCTACATATGCTACAACTTGAAGAAAAAGATATATGTACATGAGCAACATAAAAACTGTCAAAAACTCAAAATGGTTGTCAAAAACTCAAAATGGAAGCGACAAGGAGCAACTTCGATGTTTTGCCATCATTTACAAAGATCTGCTTTAATAGCTACTGTTTTAATATGGGAAACGACAAAATGCGGACCCCAGGTCTGTGGACTACCTTCGTGGACCTGGTCCGTGGACTACCTTCGTGGACCACTCTCGTGGACCACTCTCGTGGACCACTCTCGTGGACCACTCTCATGGACCACTTGCGAGACACCAGATAATTTTTGGGGTTTGAATTCTTGACTGTGCATGCAAAAATGTGCTCGAGTCGAGTTCAGTCATTATTATCATTGTGGAAACTTTACACAAAATGTGAAGTTCTAAATCCATTCACTACATGACCGTTCTAAAATATAAGTGTGCAATTACGACTTTAATGCAAAGTTTCCGAATTATGCCCTTAAAATTGGTAGTTTTTTTTCTCGATCGCTACAGGAAATGCAAGAAAAGCAGTAATTGAGCTTCAAAAATTAATATTTTTGGGAGAGGACCTTCAGGCATTGAAAGGTCATTGCAACTTACGACTTCTACAGTTCAAGTGATTTTTTAACAGTAAAATTCGAATAATTCAGTAAAATCCTTTACCCCCTCCTCCCTCCTCCCCCCCTCCCCTCCAGATTCTCCACAGCATTCCTATATTTTTTAATGGAACCCTGACTACATTTTTTCAGCATTTTTACAGACTTTAAGTATTCACTGTTCATCAACAAAAACTGAATTGATTGTGTAATAAATAATGGAAATGAGTAATGAAATAGTTCTCGCCAATCTCGGCTCCCTAAACTCGGAATAATAGTGCTAAATGGTCTATTGTTCGGTAGGCGAAATTTCGCAAGTGGTCCACGCGAGAGTGGTCCACAAGAGTGGTCCACGGGAGTGGTCCGTGGTCCACGGGAGTGGTCCGTGGTCCACGAGTGTAGTCCATGGACCAGGTCCACGAAGGTAGTCCATGGACCTGGGGTCCGCGTTTTGTCGTTTCCCTTTTAATATTGTAGTTTACTTTTTTGTTTTTACTTAATCCCCCATCAATATAAAACGTAAACTTAAAAATAACATTGCTTGTTGTTTATAGACAGTCATATAATTCTATTTTATATATATAGGCCTATATATATATATATATATATATATATATATATATATATATATATATATATATATATATATATATATATATATATATATATATACGAGCAGTGAGGCAGCTATAAATTTTATACAGTTGTTATTCAGTTGACAGCTATAGTTTTTCATGATAAAGCGCTCAACATTGGCGTTGATTTTATTTCCCAGAATCCACTAACAAACATTTTAAAATTATTTATATATTCATAGGTATATAGATTTGCTTTGTAAATATATATCGTAACATGGTCTGAAACGGACTACCTGACTGTCGCCTGAACTACCGCAAAATAAGCTTTTTTAAGAGTCTCGCGTGAGGCCCCACGGCAATAACACAAGCCAGTTTTTATATACAACATGTATCCATGCTATAGCATTCCGTGGACGAAATATAAAAAAATTCACGATTATCGCACATAGTAAATTAACCTTTCAACTTAGGCCTATGTACTTTTATTGTATTTACCTAGCTTTAATTCTATTAGTTTACATATGCAGAGAAAGCATTAAACAAAAATGAGAAATTATAAGACTTCAAAAGCTTACAGACTGCAGACATACAGTATTAAATATACAATCAGGCCCTGTTTACACTATACCGGATTCGCTGGTCACGACATCTTCTTTTGCCGTTACGGAGCAATGGTTAGTAGCAAATGCTTAATAGTTTGATAGAATTGTCATGTTTATTTGGGTCTCTGAGATTAAAAATCTTCACAGCCTTTCGATACCTACAAAATTTCACCCACTCCGATAGCAATCCGGTATAGTGTAAACGGGGCCTCAGTAACAACACGCGAATTGCTATAAATAGCAACGTTACAGTCTAGTAATGATATGATGATTTGTTGTGCTTTTGTTGTAAGTAGGCCTATCACTAAAATATATTGAAAATCCTTCTAAACGATTCGTTATAATGTATACAAAGCATATACATTGATATCGAAACACAAAATTCAAAGTTTTGAACAATTTGAGCTTCGTGACTCTGGTATAGACGTATGGGCTTAATGATTTAATTGTGTTACATTCCACTGAAAATCACCGAAATGAGCTTTTTTAAAAGTCTCGCGTGAGGCTCCGAGGCAATAACCCAAGTTAGTTTTTATATATAACATGTACTCATGCTATGCCATTCCGTGGATGAAATATAAACAAATTCACGATTATCGCACATAGTAAATTTCCCCTTCAAATCCAGTGACAAAATGCAATTCTCAAATTTGACTAAAAATAGTCAATTTCAACAACGTCTGTCAGGCCAGCTAAAGCCTCCTGGGCCAGTCCATATTGATACAATTGTTCTTTAATACTTGAATTATAGTCATTATACCATCAAAACTATCTATGGGCAGTTTTGAATCCGTCGCGAAGTGATGAAACTGACCATGGCAGCGGCTTTGTCTGCGGCTAATTATAGCCTCCTGGAGACAAATTCTTGATTTCTGATATTTGTACGTTTATCGACCAAATATTGAAAATCTAACCCAAACACCATTTATAACTAGGTATTACCTTAATTTGAGCAAAATATGAACGAAATCTATTTTTCGTGTATTGCCGCAGAATTCAAATTTTGCTCGATTTTTACGGACAGTCGCTCTTAAACACAAAGGCCTATCGTCCAAATTGAGATGATTTTCCAGGAAAAGGAAAGGAAAAATTAGCAAAGAAGAGGAAAAATTAATAAGGAAGAGGGAAAAGTAGCGTGGGCTTTTATACTAATGAATATAAAAACGATCACGTGATAAAAATAGACCAATCAGATGAATTTAGTCAATGGGTTAATTTGTACGTGAATACTTGTCTTTTATTGGCAGAGGTATGCAATCTATTATGATTATGATTACCTGCAGCAACATTATGTCGCACTGTGTTGTTCGCATTCGTCACCCAGTACGAAGCTGGAGTCACGTCCACGTTCAATGTTGAAGTGGAGGAGGTCACAAAGATACCTAGATTATATTGAATGACATTTCCAATTTCAATACCATCCTCCATAAAGAAAGCATTTCCTTTTGCGTTGTAAAATACATTCCGTTCAACCAGCAGATTGTTTATACCATGCATCGTAACAGCGCGATTAAATGAATGATGAATACTACATCCTTTTACATAGGAGCCATCAACATCTCCGCTCACGTGGAAATGTATGGGATATCTCCCAATCCTGAATGCTTGACCTGCATGCCTTACTTTAACGTGATTAAAATGTGCTGTCACCATACCCGCGCTTTTGACTGGGGCATGGATCATTATTTGAACTCCAAATCCATCACTGTCCGGCTTCTCACCAAACCTGCCCTGGAAGCAGGTCTGTGTTTGGAACTGTCCTGGCTCGAATGCAGCTGGACAAGCTTCGATTGTGCCTTTCCATTCATCATGTACCGAGCCTAGAAATTAATTATAATGTAGATGACGTTTTATGGACAACAATCGGTTGTTTTCACTTTTCATTGTTTTGAAAATTATTTTTCATGCCATCCAGTCCAGTCTTTAATTGCTTTGACATATTTGTGACGTCATGCAAAAGGCGTGTTACTGTGAGTGGTACACACATGCATACACAGAGAATGCACGAGGTTTCGTCAAGTCATCAGCTATATGATTATTTTTATTTGGGGATTGGAATCATAGTTTTGAGTCAAAGCATGTTGTGTCAATTTTGTAAATCTTACTATGTGTGTATTGTTGTTATTATGTAATATTAAGTTTGTGACAAACCTTGCACCACTACATTTCTTGTAAGCAAACCAACTTCAGCTCGCGTTTCGATCACTCTTCCAGCGAAAGTTTGCTCAATTGAGATATGTCTGTATTTTAATGGTGGATAAATTTGAATGACCTTTCCAGCTTGTTGAACTCCGACAATCGTCACCTCCTCATGTTCTCGGATATTCTTTCCTGTGGGAGCAATCACGATCTTGTCACCTACCTTCCACGTGACAGCATCTTTCAACTTCAAGGTAGTTTCCCCGGGATTTACAGTTTCCATGATAACTGTCCACGTGTGCAGCACATGTTGTCCATGCAGTCCAAGGTAACCTTCTCTGAGACCGATGCTCTTCGCACCGTACACTGGAATCTCTTTAGATCTGACATGACCATGCAAAGTTATGGTTGCTTTATGTTGGAAAGGTTCTTCTTCTGTACCGACCATGAATGAACCACCATGCGTGATCAAGATGAAATTGCTGTGAAGATGGATGTCTCTTTCATCATCAAACATGAAGGTTCCACCTTTTATCAACAAGAACGCCAACACTGGTGTATCCACATCAAGTACCATGGTTTGATTTTCATTTATTACCACAAAATCACCTGTAAGAAATATTTTTAAAAATGTTAGAAGAACATACTCGTGGATTTCAGTAAGCACTAATTAACTCAACTTATCAACGAAAATTTTTATTTGAAAAAAATTAAAGTTATCCACCTTCAATTGGAGGATCCCGACCACCCCAAGTATACCTGGATGACCAAACATCAACATAGTAAAAATCAGCATTCGCTTGAACTGCGGTACCATTTGAGCCAACGTCTACCCGAACCTTTGTTTTGATGATTCTGTGGTGTTGACCGGTCGTACATTGTATCTCTGTGGCTGTTGCAGAAATCACCATACACATGGTACTATCAATGGTAACTTTATTGTGGCTCGGTGTAGTACTGAAACCTGAACCAGTAATGGTAAGTACCACACCACCACCAGTACCGCCTCGTGATGGTGAAACACTCGTGATGGTGGAAGTCAATTGGTCTCTGTAAGTGTACGCTGATGATGAGGTCGTTTCTACCATATTCTCTGAGTTGGTTACAACTACGTCACAGCTGTCATCCACTCCGGGAGCTGACTGTATTTTTACTGGTACTTTACATTGAATTTCTGTATCATTCACCATATGGTCTTTAGCAATTTCACAAGCGGTACCACAAATTTTCACCATGCTTCCACGACTAAATCCAGAACCAGCTATGGTGATTAGCTTTCCACCACCATACCCGCTTTCGTCAGGCGATACCGTATCAATATTTAGCTGATAGGTGAAATTCATTCCAGTTGTTGCAAGACCTTTACCGACGACGTGAACAACGACAGGATAGTTGCCGGCAGGTTTTGCAGCAAGGGTGCAATCGATTGAGCCTGTAGTACTTGCTGTCACCTCGCATGGTGTACCACCGATCTTCACATGGTTATTTGATGGCTGTGTTGCAAAACCAGAACCTTGTATGTTGATACTTTCACCAGAGCGGCCTGCGTTTGGTATTGTATTCACCACGGGTGTGGCAGCCGCAGTGGTTGCAAATGGTGTAAATAGAAACGGAAACTGTACTCCATTTGATGAGACCTGTACCAAGAACGAACCTTCTTCTTGCATCGGTGTTTTACATCGTATAACTGAAGCTGTAACATCAACGATCTTACATTGTTTATCACGAATGTGTACTACGGTTTGCCCGTTCGGATCAAACCCGTTACCGTTTACTGTAAGTAGTAAACCACCGTTTATACTTCCCTGTGTATGTGAGAAGCTTGTTAGTGTTGCTTCGCTGGTGATGTTCACTGGCTCTGCAAATCTTGCATAACCTTTGTTACCCCCAATATGTACCACAACAAGGTGTTTCCCAACTGGTAACCCAGGTAGGGTACAGGTTATCTCAGTCAAGCTCGCGGTTTGTACTGCACAATTCACACCCCCTGCTGTAATTGTAACATCAGATACAGTATCACTTAACCGTGTTCCATCAAATGTCAGTACTGTTTCCGGCGTGTTCACTGTGGTTGGACTAAGAGCTGTAATCCTGGGTGTTCGATCTTGATTGTATAGATAAATACATTCACCTTCGTCTTCGCATGCTGCTTTAAGTTCCACATTATCTCTGATGAAGACCATTTCAACGACTCGAGATACTGTTACATCAATACTTTCTTCGAACGATTGCCCAGTAATACATTCAATTTGAGTGTATGATAAACTGGTTATTTTACAGTCACTTCGGCCTAAAGTTACATTCATGCCATCAACGAATCCTTGGCCGCCTACAATGGTCTGTGTTCCGCCTAAATGTGAACCGGATCGTTCCGTAATCGACTCCAATGAAGGAACGAACTCAAACCACGTAGTTTGGTTTTCTTTCGGCGCTATAAGTGCCCGTCCAATACCACCAACCTCCACAGACACTGGCAGTTTTCCCCAAGGTTGCGGCTCACTTGAGGTGTTTAGGAGACAAGTTAGTTGGGTGGTGCTGCTGCTTAGTATGGTACAAGATGAAGAGTGTTTGCCAAACATTACAGTGTTCTCGCTGTTCACTGCACTGAATCCAGTGCCTGTGATAGTTATGGGATCAGTGTTAACACCAGACGCAGGTGTCACAGATGTGACGATGGCCGTCACACATGTTGAGAAAGTGAAAGCGAAGTGAACACCGTCTTTCGTTTTTGCAGCAGCTTGACTGCAGTTTTCTGTAGATTCGTCAGCTACGGCGCCTTTCAATTCGTGTGAGGCGGTAAACGCTGAAATATGAAAATATTTGATATTACTAAGTGAGGAGCATGCGGGTCGTAGTACTCTACACATGGTTTACGCGCTGGTTTATATATTGTCTGCCTAGCGAAATTACTTCGAGTCATTAAGAAATTGTTTGACGTTTTCTCCCAGTGTTTCAAGAATGTTCACTCGAGGAATCTGTTAATATGTAGAACTCACTAGATTTATCTCCTCGTTGTATCAAATAAAATGAACATCAGCCTTTAATGTACAGTAACTCTATTTAGACTGGCTGTCTAGTAATGGCGATCCTTAATAAGTATAGTTTTCAAGAAACGTGCGATGGTTTGATAGATCAAACTGGAATCGCTCTTCTCAGTGCATGTCCTAACCGCTGTGAAACCAACAACACCCTGGTCACAGAAGTGAGAGGTACACGCACTAATTACTGTGAACCCCCGCCCCACCACCTCCAGCCTATCCACTACGACATAAGTTACCACAACAAGACACCAATCCTTACCATTCACTTTCGCATCAACATTCACCACATGTGACAATGCTGGTTGGACTACAACCATTCCTTTCAAGTCCAAGAATCCGCCTTGATCAATGAATCCGCTTGAGAAATAATACGTTCCAGGCCTGTAGAACTGGTGCGTGAATGATCCATTGGAACCGCGTTTACTGATGAATCCTGTCCCATCGTAGTCAGTAGATGCGTTATCTTGGGTCTGGTGCACTCCATATTCGACAGCAACTGAAACTGGTGCTGCCCAACTCCACTAGGTGACGAAAGAGGGAAATTGAACATGTTGTTATTATATAAAAGAACATCGGATGTCCAAGGCTATTCGAGATTGTACTAGCCAAAGACATTGTGTTTATTATCAAGGGTGCTACTCCTATGAAATTGAACAAGAATGTCCTTATCGAGCCAGATTCATATATATTACCTTGATTCTATCGCCAACTCTAATAGTGACTGTAGATGGTTCCCATTGATAACCAATTCCAAACTCTAAAAACAAAATATTTTGAATAAATATCAATGTCTTGTTAACGTTACTATCCACCCTGGTACAGACCGTTAACACATAAAACATGGGGCGCTTTCCATTTAATGGCCTGACCGGTCAGAACCGAATTCTTTTCTCTGTATCAATGGAAAGATCTGGTCTATGTTTCTCAAATATATGACCTCATTCTAATGTTATCTAAATTTTCCGGTCAGGTAGGTCCGGAGCCCAAATGTTTTGTGTTCCATTCAACAATTTGACTGTTCTGACCGGTCTGGCCGTGTTAATGGAAAGCGCCCTTGATTTCTTCATGATCTGGATTCTTTCACGAGACTGACCTGGATGAGAGCCGGAGTTGTCTACCTCCGCAACCCTTCCTCCACTTGACGTTCTACATTTCATTTCACTCTCAGTACTTTCTATGACGTCACATGGCACGTCTCCTAACATCACCATGTTGTCTGTGATGTTGGTACCGAATCCTTGCCCCGCAATGGTAAGAACAGCGCCACCATTCAGCGATCCTCTGTTTGGCGTAACACCACTCACAGATAACACGGAGGTAAACACGGCATTGGTACCGTTCAAGGAAGCTCGTCCTATATGGTCATAGAAAATTGGTAAAATATAGAATTTTATATAATAACGTTAAGAATTCAAGCGCGCTTTCATTGGTCGATAGCCATGATTTATTAGAGGACAGACGCACGGGATTACGTCACAATTCACAATTAAGGTAGCCAATAGCATTTCCTTATTTGTATAGATCATGTACGCGTGATATTTGTAAAATTTCCAAATGTTTGGGTGGATAAAAAGTAAGCTATTTACCTGTTTAATGGACCTATTCCCTAATGAACAAAATGTTGATCTCAACATGTCGAGACAAAAATTTCATCACAGCTTGAAAGAGTATCACAGAATTAGTAATATTCCGAAGTTTCGTTGCGAAATGTTGTAAAATGCGGATAATATAGCCCTGCGAAGTTTGCCGTTTTTCAGTCATTTTGTATTACACACGGGAAATTTATACCTTTTTTCAGAAAGCGGTATCAATTTCCCGTGCGTAATACAAAATGACTGTAAAACGGCAAACTTCGCAGGGCTATATTATCCGCATTTTACAACATTTCGCAACGAAACTTCGGAATATTACTAATTTTGTGACGCTCGTTCGAGCTGCGATGAAATTTTTGTCTAGACATGTCGAGATAAAAATTTTGTTCATTAGGGAATGGGTCCATTCGGGGTTTTTCCTTTTATTATATAAAACAAATAGACAAGATTTTGCCGTTGTCTGTTCAGTTATATATACACAATATGACATGATGTGGGAAGAACAAATATCCTATCAATTTGTTAAGTATTTATTAGACCTAACCAGGCGCAGTTGTGAAAAATGCAGCTATAGACCCTCTGACAGGAATTGAACCTGCGATTCCGGTGCAGTACTCTAACCAACTGAGCTTCTGAGGCCAGCTGTCGAGCTCTAACCGCAAGTTCATTTATATATACTAAGGCGATGCCAATGTAAGGTGTGTGGGTAAGTATCAGACGTTTTAGGCATCCACACTCGACTTAAATTAGAATCCTGGCAAGTCTCACCTTTATTTTGGGTATCAACGACCACATCGACAGTACCAGGGGGGTTGTTCGGCACCACACAAGTTATCTCCGTACTAGAGACAGTCTGAACCTCGCAGCGGCTGACACCCATACTAATTGTGACTTCATCAGATACGTTGGGGAATGATGTCCCGGTGATGGTCAACACAATCCCTCCATAGGTAGGACCCTGAGTTGGGTTAATGTTGGTGATCCTTGGTTGAACCGAATCGTCGTATGTGAAACCGTTGTTGAACGTATATTGACCGCCCGCCTGTGGTGAGACGACAACATCGAACACACCCGCCGAGTGTGGGCCAGTGGTGCATTTAATAATCGTTGTTTCCACTGATTCAGTTGCACATTCAACTCCACCGATTGTTACTGAAAGACTTAAATTTGTCCCAAAACCAAAACGTATATTAAGGGAGATTGATTAGCAACTACAGTCATACTTCTGCATAGCTTTCAAATATACGTACAACCATGTAATACAGATAGTTTCTTATGTGCCAACTTTATTCTCACGTATATTTTTTCGGAGTCTCTTCAAAAATATAGAGTTCAGATTTGACTGCCGCTACCGTTACCTCTCACTGGCTTAGTACCCATCTGATTGGTTAATCTGATATATCAAACGCATCTGATTGGTTAAACTGATATATGAAACGCATCTCATTGGTTAATCTGATATATCAAACGCGTCTGATTGGTTAATCTGATATATGAAACGCATCTGATTGGTTAATCGGATATATCAAACGCATCTGATTGGTTAATCGGACAGACCAAACAGAAACTGTAATATTATTTCACTTTTATTAAAAACAATATTGGGAAATCTCAGCAGTTAGAACTAGATCCAGACTTTCACGTTATGCCTATCCTTAACTACATAACATAATGAAGGATAACGAGGGATCAATATGGACATACTGGTAATAGTGACATGCGTGCCTCCAGCGGTACCCCCACTCGATGGGGTCACAGATTGGATATTCACAATAATGAAGAAGATTGGTGGCTGTTGGAAGAGCGCGTAGCCCTTGTTGTGAATATTGATCGAGAGTTCTTGAACGCCAGGGTTGACTTCGTTAGCTGTGAAACAGAAACACAATATTCTCGTTGAATGCAAATAATAATAATAAAAAGAAGAAAATTTCTATAGCGCTTATACATTACTATTTGCTTTACATTTTCAAATCACGTATATACTATTTTACACATCTTTTATATAAATGGTGTTAAAATTATTTAAAATAAGTAAATAAAATTGATCTTGTAATTATGAGTCATATGTTGTAGGCCAATTTAAAAAGGTAAATCTTTAATTTCGATTTAAAAGTATTAATGTCAGTTATAGATCTAATATCCACTGGAAGTGTGTTCCATAGTTTTGGCCCAGCTACCGAAAATGCCCGATATCCATAGGTTTTAAGTTTGTATGCATAGACCTTTACCAACTCGAGAGCACTCGGAGACTATATACCTCCGTAAAACATTAAAAGGAATTTTATAAAATAGTTTTCAAATACAGTTCAGATAGAATATCCAATATTTCCCATTTTATACGAACCTAAAATAAACACGATTTCAGTTTCGCTACTTGACAGCACAGTACACTCCACGTTGCCCATAGTAACAGTGACGTCACTAGCGTTGTTGCTGAACACAGTCCCTGTGACAGTGACCGAGGTACCAGCCCCACCAGATGTAGTGCTGACATTGGTCACTACTGGTGTTCTCTCTGTCAGATGGTGGTATGAACATTCTCCACCCATGCAGCTTGCTACCAGATCGTTCACTTTTACTACGACCTAAAAGATATTTGCACGTTATTTAAGAAACGTTTTGAAAGATTGGGAGGAACGTATGGAAACTGGAAGACTCTAGCTCAGTGGTTTAGAGCGTCGCACCGGATCGCAGGGCCGCTGGTTTGATTCCTGCCATTCCGAGGGCCTATACAGGCCTGCCAAGGTGTGGTGCATAAAATGAGGGAGATTACAATATTTGTGATTTTTCTGCGTGTGACGTGAGCTGACAATAAACATGAGCTCAACGAAATCTCTAGCGGGGACTAAGGGATTGCTGCGAGCACTTCGTTTAAGAGAACCTTGAAACTAAGACTGCATTCAGAGCACTCTTGCTCAGCTGTGCAAAAGATATCAATCGACATGTGTCTAAATGATTTGTTAGTTTGTTCTGGTGACACTCCCAACACTACTGCGTTGCGGGTAAAACACAAGGAATGTGGGAGATTTCTTCAAATTGTCTTCATGTGAGAGATGATTAATGACTCCAAAGGTCTGCCTATAGTTGCATTTTTTACAGCTGCTTCTATTAGTTCTGTCAAGCGAGACGGCCAAAAATCTTGATATTTGTTGATATTGTAAACCTAGCCCGCTCATCTGTGGTTCTTTAGTGATCACTCGTAAAAACTCGCCTGGAATCTTCTTGTAGAACAGTCCACCTTCTCTAATATTATTTCGTACTTGGATATTATGACCCATAACTTTGCTTGCATTGATTATCAAATCTGGCTGTTTGCCTGACTTAGTAAGCCAATCGACCTTCCATCTATAATGGTTACACTTGGGGTAGCCGTTGGAAATAGAGATTTTGAGTTGGCCGACATCGAAGTTTGTTTCAAGTAGAGTTTTCATTTGATCAGCTGTTGTGCCGAGTTGGATATCTGAAATTGAATTGACATGTGATATACACTGTACATGTTTAAAATGCTTCAAAAACTCAATAATTCATGAATTTCATGAGGAAAACACAAAGGAAAATCATAAGCGCGTGTCGTATCTTTATCATGTGATAGAGATTTCCCTTGGTTTACATAAGCTTTAACTTTGATTTTCTCGACTTACACAACATATTTTTTGAAAATTACTTCGCCAATGAACTAGATCGTTTTTGAAGCAATTTAAAACATTAGCATTGCGTGTTTTATCAGACCTATTAAAAGATACTCGGCTTCGCCTCGTATCGTTAAAAAACTCATTAACAATTCATGAGGAAAAGACAAAGGAAAATCACTACCATGTCGGTGGTTTTGTATGTGATAAAAAATTATGATAATAATGGTAATCATAGTAATATTTTGACTTATTGAAACAAATCGAAATAGTACTTGAATTTTGTTGTTTAAATAGCTGGAGTCTTGAGTTTACAAGATGTTGATATTCCGAGTATTTTCAGCTCATATTCCAATTTCCATACTCATTGTAATTTGCATAATGTCTTTGAATACAGTACGGAAATAGCGTGGATGTAATACCAATTTGACGTATACCTCTGATGGTTTTATTTCCAAATGTTATATCAAAAGTCCCGGTCAACGGTGGGCTTGCAGCCTTGTTACGTGTCACCATGATCGTTGCATCAATATCTGTGAAATTGAACCGGCTTTGCTGATCACCATCCGTGCTTGGAACACCTTCTATCGAGATCAGTGGGATATCGTTGCCACAATATGCCACAATCATTTCAAGTTTGAACGAGTTTTCTGATAACTTTTTGACGCTAAATGTTTTGATCCAATGGCCATTTGGATGAGCTGCAACGTTTCTGTTTAAAACTAAACAATCATAACAATCATACAGCTGTAGTTTTGCTGCTGTAAATATTACTGCATGAACTGTTATCTCTAGAATGCTATTTCCAATGGTCAATTCGGGTATTCAAATGGGTATCTCCCGACAACTAAGCTGACACTCACAATTTTATAATACCTCTATCAGTTCTAAACTATTTTTCTTAGAGGTCCAGTAAGGGCCATCTCTTATTGGTTCATTGTTACAAAAGAAGAAACCCTTAACATAGCTAACTTTATGCTGGATTATCAGTTTTAAACCGTTCTCCCTGGAACTCGGAGAAGACCTAGTGCAGAAGTTTGTCAAAACAGGAAGAATTCTTCTGCATATTAAATGATCGAACTCTGGTCACGTGAAACGCACATGCATTAATCACTGTGCCACCAACATCCAGTAAAAACCCGAAAGTCCACAGCTTAACCAGTTACCTGACACGGGTGTACTTCCAATCCAAAAATCATCCACCATCACGTGACCATAGATGTAGATGTGTGTCACATTCATTATGGATCCCGTTTGTCTGTTGCCCCAAAGATTAGTATTGGCCATTGCAAGTTCGTTCAAATTCACACACACGTATTGCCAGAGCTGAGGAATAGCGGTTTCGTAGTGGTAAAGATTTGTATATCTCTGTGTTCCTTGTTTATCCGTGTATTTCATGTAGATTCTCAGTGATACAGTGCGGCTATCAGTGATCCAGTGTCGCCCTTTGAATGCGTAACAAACCTGAAAGAGAGAAATGAACGAGTTTGAATCTTTAAATGTAACTATTCTGCCCATGCGCGTACAAGGATGTTAATGGAGACCAACGCGACGGCAACGGCTACCAATACAATAGATCATTGAGTAATTACAATATATGAATAATTAAGTCCTCGCTCTGTTTACAACGCTAAATCACAGATTTTCACGTCTTGATACAACGGCTGTATTCCAAGCCGCAACAAGTGCAACTTCGAACTGGGTTTAGCAGAACTCTTCCCAAACATAAAACCCATGTCTTCAACTTCTAAAACTGTATTAAATTCGTACGATTGATAATATACCACGAACTATCTTTACTACCATTTATTTGAAGGAGTTTGTTTTGGCCGTCGCCGTCGCGTTGCCGTCCTGAAGTCGTAAGGTCTCTAATGTATGTGACTCCCCCCCCCTCTGTGGCTGTGGTTCGATTTCAGCAATATGCGGTTGTTTGATTATACTTCAGTCAAATGTACATTCCAGTCTCACTCTCACAAATGCCGTACTTTTTCTCCGAATACTCCAGTTTCCTCCTGTAGCAACACTGAAAGACGATGACAGTCTCTAGCTGGAACACTTGGGAGAAAAGTCTAGAACTGAATTACGAACAAGCTTTCGTTGGTAGGGATGCAACTACCTAAGGAGAATTTCAGGTATAGTTGCATCCCTACCAACGAAAGCTTGTTGATTAGAACTGAGTTATTCTGTGTAACTAATGTTAGCTTAAGTCTTTCTTTAGTAACAAAACAACAACAACACCAACAATTTATTTTCCCTTGATTGACATAAGTAATTACAATTTTTTTAAGAAAATATAGAAGATAAATTAAGTAATATTAAGGGATACTGGCCCCTAGAAATAATCTTTTTGGATTAAAATTGGTTAGAGGCCAGAATACTATTTTTCGCTATGATCTGGCGGAGGAAAAGAAATTATTATAGCATATCTAGAGAAAATATAGAGAGAAGAGTTTGAGAATTCAGTTCTTCTAGGTGCCATATTAGAAGCACTAGATGTTAAACACTTTGGACAAGTCATCAGTGTATACAGAAAAATAAATTAAATAAGCTAAGTATATAATATAATGTTTGAAATAAAATTGAAAATATGACTTATCCATTTACATTAAAATGATTCAAGATCTTGTTTAGATTTGATGTACATTTTCATTATCCTTTCGTAAATATATTTTCCCATTAGAGGTCCAAATAAATTTGTATTGATTGTCCTTCTTAAATTTCAAGCAACATCTAAATAAATCTCTATTCTGCTTTGTCAGACTTTCGGCCAAATATATTCTATTTGCGGATTCATAGCCAAGTCTTTGTTGTTTTCTCACTGGAGAACAGTTTACAACTGATAGAGCTACCTCTTAATTTATTTCAAGATTACATCCAAATAGACTTCAAGGGAGAACAGTTTAAACACTGGTAATCGCTAAACTATAAACATACTCAAACATACCCGCGAGTATTGTTGAAGATTGAATTCTCCACCTTTGATATTGCCAGGTCTGATGACTGTATGTCCAGCGAAATAGAGTAAATTGGAGTTTGTCAATACTTGTCTTCCACAGTGTGGTGTTTGATCATTTACTCTGCCTCCGTGTTCATAACCTTCACGGTCGCCTTCGTATCCTTGGTAGAAATAGGCATCGTCTGGAAAGAATGACATAAAATGTCATTTAGTATGTTATTCTGATATATATATCTGATATATATATATCTGATATATATATATATCTGATATATATATATATATATATATATATATATATATATATATATATATATATATATATAT